ATTATTTATTTTATTTTATGATTTTCTTCTTAATAAATAAATCAATTATTTTTGAAATTGATGAATCATTTATTTTATTTTTCCCCCGATTCCCATCCAATTTTTTTCTATTTTGGAACACTATTTTTATTCCAAATTCTGAAAATCAGATTAAAAAAATTTCCATTTTTTTTTATCAGAATTGGAATATATATGAGATTCCGATTTACCATCCGATTTTAATTTTCGAGAATAATTCGTAATTTCTGGTTTTTTCCAAAAATTACTCTTATAATATCAATATTATTATACAATTTAGATTTGAAGAGCCAAAACATTGAAATTTTCCTTTTCGTGTTTATTTCTACGTTTGAACTTACTCATTCTTATTGAACGTACTTTCATCATTCTTTTATTATTTATTTCATCAATTTTATATAATACTATAGACATATTCTATTTATGAATAATGAAAATAAAAATTCTTTATTGAAGTATTTCTAAATATTTATTTCAATATAATTAATTAGTAAGTTTGACTTCTCAACAAGTTTTATTCCCTTTTCCGGTCAATAAGATAGAGAATATCATCCTTACGGGATGAAAGAATTAATATAATTCTCACAATCAATTTACGTGCGAATTGCATAAATACGAGTACATTTTGATGTTTCCTTGCATTCTTTATTGAACTAATCAATTTTTATTGAATAAGAATAATCGCATTACATAGTAACTCCTTTTTAATTATATATATTTACACTTACCGAGTTATATAAGAATCCCTAATTTAAAAAGTATGTTCAATATCATTATCACTAGTATCGGTATCAGTAACGGTATCAGTATCGGTATCAGTATTAGTCTTTGTTAGAGTAGGTGACCAACAAGCCAACTTGTGGCGGTGCTCTTTCCATTAATTCTTGTAATAAATCATCATTTTTCTTATTATGATAAAAACACATTGGCATTCTATATCTTTGTCCCTTTGTCATAAACATAGATATAGTCCTTATAGTTATTACAAGTACTAGTGATCGATATTTAGGACCGTGAGATATTTACTTTGGTATTATAACTGTTAAACGTGTTCCTAGTCGAAGGGTTACGCCACCAATGAGGATATCGACCTTTTCCATTAAGAGACTAGCACTTAGTGTATGTGTACTGCATCTCATCAGTAAACGGTATTGTGATATCAGCATGCATAAGTGGGTGCTCGTAAGTTGACGAATTCACTGAACTCCCTCACCCTAGAAATCTCTAAGTGGTTCTCAATAATCTAGTAGAGATATCTATGGTATAGTTGTACACCATTAGTCCTTATGACCTAGACATCACCGTGACTTCACTGGAGGACCAGCTGTATCGTGACCTGTCCCTGAATTCCACCTAAGACCGCCCCAAGGGCCAGTGTTCGTGAAGTCCGAAATCTAGTGGGAGTTATGTGCATTGTAGTCGGGGATTCGATCGCTAGAATAGTCTTGGATGTCCTGTGTGTTCTCATAGTTGGTAATCTCTAAGTCTCTAGCCAGAGCGGACTAAGTGATGATTAGAGAATTCGATTATCTAAGTCATGCACGTACCTATTACAACACTTAGAACGACCACACAGTCATTGAACTACTAAGGATGTTTCGATGAACCAATGCCTCTAGTTAAATCGGGACATATGAATCGAAGGGATCATACTATACGTTAACTATATCAAAAGCTTATTGCAGGCATTTCATTTGTATATAGGGAATCATGACTAGGGGTGGGAACGAGCCGAGCTCGGCTCTTTTGGCCAGCTCGAGTTCGAGCTCGAGTTCATGTTGCCGAGCTCGAGCTCGAGCTTGAGCCAATTTTGGCGAGCTCGAGCTTATTATTTTTTTTTTTTTTAATTTATTAAAATCATTTTATTTTTTATTAAAAATTATTCATAGGAAAATAAAAAAAATTATAAAATAAATAATGAACTCTAGTTATATATATTTTTTATTTTTTCTATTATTATTATTATTATTATTATTATTATTATTATTATTATTATTATTATTATTATTATTATTATTATTATTATTATTATTATTATTATTATTATTATTATTATTATTATTATTATTATTATTATTATTATTATTATTATTATTATTA